TCTGTAGCCCATTTGTTGTAAGTCAGGTGTCCACATGTGCTCGGGCCTGTTCTGGACTCTGTCCCCTGTGGCTTTTCAGGGCTCAACTGCTTTCATTCATAAAGCTTTCCAGTTGTTCTTCTGCAAGGGTCCTGGTTCATGTTGACCCTTTGCCCGTCGGTGTACATTTTAGGATCCACTTTTGCAGTTTCACAGCCTCCGTTGGGGTGGGATCGGGATGGCACTGAATCTGTAGGGCGTTCCTTCATCTGGGAAGTGCAGCCCACAGAGTCCTAGTGCAAGCATCAGGCGCGGCGGCAGAGCCGTGAGCGCGTCCCTGTAAGGCGGGGAAGAGGTGAGGGTGCCTCTCGGGCCACTGCTTGCAGCTTCGGCAAGAAAGAGAGCAGCTCTGGCATTCGCAGATGGAAGGGCAGAATACACAGGAAGCCAGAGGGCTGGGCAGATAGTTCTTAGAGTTAATGAGTGAAGCAAGCTAGCTAGGTAGGGAAATAATACCCAGAATCATTTTTTTTCTATATAACAGCAACTGCTAGAAAAATTTTTTTGAAGATACTCTTACAATAGCATCAGAACGTAACAAATCCCTAAGAATAAACCTAAAAAATGATGTGTAACACATTTTTAGGAGAATTGTAAAACTTTATTGGAAGACTTTTAAGGGAAACTTAATTGGAGAGAGAGTCCACATTCCCAGGTTGGCGGAGTCAGCAGTGCAGAGACCTGTGCTCTCCCCAGGTCGACATGGGAAGCCTAGAAGCCGGTGCAGGTGAGGCGCGGAGCGGAGCGCGCGGGACTGCCTCCCGCGGGCAGCGAGTCCGGCGTGAAGGCTGCAGGCGCGGGCGTGGGGTTGGCGGCCGCAGCTGACAAGGGCCCCCGCCTGGGGACATTGTCTGGGACAGAGGGCACACAGGACATGGGGCGAGTGCTTCAGGAGACAGTGCATGAATTTACTCTTTCAAAACAGAATAACATTGCTGAACTTCTGTTTTCTTAGTGGGGGAAACTTGCTATCTGCTAAGTTTCTTCATATAGGAAATAGAGCTAAGTGGAATTTAGTACATTGTAATGAAAAATGCCAGATTTACACCAAATTGTGTGCTAAGAATAAATGTATTAGAAGCCCAGACGATGCCATAGCTGAAGGTTTGGCTCTTTGCTTTGGAGAGGCTGCTCGTTTGTTTCTGCTGTTTGAGGTGTCTCTTGTGGGCTCATGACTTGCAAACTGTTGGCGCCATGCCCTTAAGGAAGCTGAGTGAGCACTCAGAGGTGATGTGGCGACTTGTGGTCTCTCCTGGAGAACTGAGCGGCTTCAGCTGTGTCACATGTGTGACCAGGAAGGGGACTGCACCCTCATGAGTACCTTCGGGACGTCTCCGGAGCTGACGCTCTCCAGGCCTGTGGTTTGTGCAGCTCCGTCTGCATCCCTGGCATCCCAGTTACTCGGGCAGAGCCGCCCCCTGCGCACCAGGGCGGCCGGCTATGCTGTTGCCGTGCAGGAGCCTGGTCCTTTTGGCGTCTTGGAGTATTTCTGTTCACGACCCAGACTTGTTATGTAGGAGAGGGCCTGGCCTTTTTTTTTTTTTTTAATCCTTTTTTTGTCACAGAGTTCACATGATGCCCCTTTGCTTATATCGACAATCTGGCAGTTCAGCCTTATTATATCACATCCTACGATTTGGTGTTTTAAGATGTCTTAGGTCATGTCTCTCAGTCCCTCTGCAGGTGAGGTGCACATTGCTTGCAGCACCTGGACGGGTGGCTGTGATGTGATTGGCCATTTCGGAGTCCTGTGGCCAAGCCACGTGGCTCCGGACTGGGGCACATGGCCTCCAGACTCGGGCGCACGCCCCTGGCCACAGGGGCCTCGCGCACCCCCTCCAGCGGGTCTCAGTCTGTATAGGAAATGTTAGCGCACCTCTTTTATTCTCTGTAGCAGAAGGAAATATAAGTAGTAGTTTGTTCTCACCCTGGGAGCCCCCGGGTCTTGTCCCATCTGGGAGGGCTGGGGCCGTGGGGCAAGTCCGCTGTGAGGCTTGCTCTGCGCCGCTGCCTTGCTGGGAGACCCGGAGCACCCCCGACACCGGGAAGCCGCCCCCACCTTCTCTAACGGCAGCCGTCCTGGGGCGTCTCTGTCCCCTGTTTACTCACCAGTCTTCCCTTCACTCAGTGTTTTTAAAAAGGTAATAACATGTGTCCTTATCGCCACCTTCTTTGTGCTACCCCGATGCCAAGGTCAATGTCTCCCCCCGCCGCCCGCCGAGTTTGCTCCAGACATCCGTCCGTTCTGCTCCTGCTGCCCTTAAGGGTAGACCCTGAAATAATTGGGAAGTACCCCAAGTTCACTGTGGCAAACCAGGAAAATACCGGAGGGAGGGGAGGATAAAGAGATTTACACACACATAAGGTGCCTGTGATTTATTTGTGTAGAAGAATGTTACAGCTCTTAACGTCAAAAGTAACAAAAGGAAGTATTACCTGATATTCACACTATTTACCCTGAACTGTACTAGCCTCTTCTCCGTTCTCGTTCTCTTGGATCAGCAGTGGCAGCATGGCGTGGGCTTCGGGTGGCGCCCTGGGGCTTCCTCTGGCAGGGCCTCTGCACCCCTTTCCGTTAAGGAGCCCTGTCCTGGGGCAGCTCCAGTGGCTGCACCTGAGTTCTGTCTCCTGTCGTGCCGTGCGGTTGACGCTCTGTTGGGCTCCAGACCGTCGATGAACACGCGTGGAACAGGTGTGCCTGTGTCGTTAGTCTGCATGCAATTCAAAAGTAACGTCAGCCTCTGCTATCCATGGGCAGAATTCAAAATCCGTTATTTTATTTTTTCTGCTTCAAGAAGTAACTGTAAGATTTGGGTCAGACCTCAGGGTCATGATTTATCATGTAAGAGTCAGGCAGCCTTGACTACGAAGCACTGAAGAGTAATGTGACAACAGCGTTGGGCCTGGTTAGGCTTTCACGTCTGGTTCTCACTACAAGGATGATCGGGAGAGTCAAGTCAAATACATGTTATATTCGGTGATACCTTTTTTCTTCTTTCAAGATTAGCAGTGCTAACTTATAAAGACTTTTCTTTTTCATTCTCCCCTGAGGACATGCTTATTGATTCTTAGAGAGGGGAAGGAAAGGAGAGAAACATTGATATGATACGATCGGTTGCCTCTCTTACGTGCCCTGACCAGGAGTCAAACCTACAACCTTTTTGGTTGACAAGACAACGCTCCAGCTAAGTGAGCCACACCAGCCAGGGCCAGCCCTTTTTTTTTTTTTTTTTAACTGTATCTTTTTTCCATTACCATTTATCCCCAAGACTTTATTTTTAATTACAGAAAGAATGCCTTTATACCATTGAGAACTTAGAATACGTAAAGGCCTAAAGCATATTCTTTCCCCACCTCCACTGATCTTTATTCCCCAGGGGTCAGTCCTGTTAACACAGCAGGAAGTGAAGATTTTTTTTCAATATGGTGACCAATAAGAAGCTACACTAAGTTGCATTCAAAACACAGGTGGAGCCCTGGCTGGCGTGGCTCAGTGGGTTGTGTACCGGCCTGGGAACCCAAAGGTCACTGGTTGTGTTCCCAGCCAGGGCACTTGGCTGGGTTGAGGCCAGGTCCCCCACTGGGGATGTGCAAGAGGCAACCGATCAATATATCTCTTGCACATTGATGCTTTCCTCCCTCTCTTTCTCCCTCCCTTTCCCTCTCTCTAAAAGTAAATAAATAAAATCTTTAAAAAAGAAACATGGAAATATTTAATAATAAGTTGGGATGTAATGTTTTTATTGTTGTGTTCGATTTGATTGTTATGCTATAGATTTTTTGAAAACAGTGAATTTGTACAAGTAGCCAAATGAGGTTTTAAAAAGTAAAAAGATGTTATGAGATTATAATCCCAAGCTTTTTTTAAACTATAAACAAAAACAACATAGTAACATCTTCACTGTCTGGAACCCTGGAAGAATTGACATAATTTCTACAAAGTTAAGATTTTCTTGCCTTTTAGAGGAGTTCCAGATTGAAATTTTATGGGAGAAGAAGATTTTAGTCTGTTATTCCTTCTTACCTGCACTGCCTTTGTTTTAGTGGTCGGTGACAGCCGAGGCTTGTTTTGAAGGTCGGTTGCCGTCTAGTGTTTTTAGGGGCCGATGCCTGCACAGCTCCGGCTCATGTGGGGGGCTTCCTTGATGCCCCTGGAACGGCCCCTGAGCCATTCTGCGTGCGATGCCCTTGTGTGAGAGGGTATCCTACAGCCATGCCTGTGCCGGCCACTGGGCAGGGTGGTGGCCACAGGCGAGCTCGCAGCACGCGTGTGCTCGTCCTCACGCGGCGCAGTGGCACCTGCCGTGTCAGGCTCGTGGGATGTGCTTGGAGGGCTTGCCTGCCGCTTCTCAGGAGCCAAGCTGATGAGAGGAGGTCCTGAGTGAGGCGTGGCAGGGTGGCCCTTGGGGGGAACGTGGGTTCCTTAGTTACCTGCACTGCCGAGCACCTGAGAATGCGGCAGGCTCCAAACACAGAACTGTGACTGCCCAAGGCATCGGTGAGGCAGCCCGGCAGCCTGGAGGGTGAACGAGGGTGTAGAAGCGAGTGAGGAGTGAAGTCAGGCAAGAAGGCCATTCAGAAAATGAAACCTTTGCACTGGAAATGACTGGATGATCTTATCCGCAGTCTTTTCTCACCCGCCTCTGCGCCTGCAGCCTTGGCCGTCCCGGGGCGCGCGTGTCGGGCGCTCAGACGGCATCTGAGTGAGCGCGCTCAGTGGGGGTTCACTGTGAAGAGCGAGCAGCGTGCTGTCAGAGTGAAGAGTCGTGAAGCACGTGATCGGCGCAGCGACTGGTGGTTTTTTTCTTTTCATTTTCTTCAAGGAATGTTTAACCTCTATTCACCGCTGTCCTGTCTCTTTTTTCCTTGAATGTCTATTAATTCAAAATAAATAAAGCGTTCTGCAATAATTTGGGGTTAAGCATTTCTGCAGTCAGTATACTTTGCTTTCTGGTTTTCAGATGTCCCTCCTGCTGATCAAGAGAAGCTCTTCATCCAGAAGTTGCGTCAGTGTTGTGTCCTCTTTGACTTTGTTTCCGATCCACTGAGCGACCTGAAGTGGAAGGAAGTAAAACGAGCCGCGTTAAGTGAGATGGTGGAGTACATCACCCATAATCGGAACGTGATCACAGAGCCCATCTACCCAGAAGTGGTCCACATGGTGAGTGCGCTGCAGCCTGGGCTCTGCCGTCTTCGAGGAAGCGGAGGTGGGGGCCTGGCGTAACGCCCCCACGAAACGTCCTCCTGTGCCGCAGTCTGTGCTGGCACGGTGAGGAACGGCAGTGTGTGTGCTGCGTCCTGGTTACCGTGACAGGTAACCGTGCAGGAAGCCGGGCACCTCCAAGGGCTCGTGGAAGTTAGTTCATTTAGTCCTCACAGTTACCAGATGGTGCAGAAATGTTAAACCTTCTATTTGTACTTATTATCCTCTTTAAATTTGTTTTGGTTTTTAACATATATAACATCGTTATAATAATGCCCATACATGATACAGAAGTAAACGCGTTCTGCATACCTGTGCCGGAAAGCTCTGGTGAGGCGCAGCGACACCAGTGACGGAGCCTGGCCGGTGCCAGGATGGCCCACACTGCTGGGCCGCGCCGGCCTCCGCCTGCTAACGCCGTGTCAGGGCCCAGCAGGCCTGCGCTGCCGCAAGCGCGTGCTCTGCTTCCATGGTCCTCCACCGTCTCGTACTGCACAGCCTGTTTCCAGGCTCTTTGTAGCTCTCCCTGCGACCTCAGTCGGCACCACCTGGAAACATTTCACATGATGCCTAAAATTACTAAAACTCTTGCTCTTTGACCCTAAACCCCAGTTTTCCATCTTTTCTTAATTGTTGATATTTATCTGCCTTTGAAGTTAGTACTCCCCAGTGACTAGGGAGTTCTTGTTGCTTAATACAAAATTTTAAGTTCTTATTTTCATTGAACTCCTTACGTTCAATAATTTTTAACCCAAAGCTATATATTTCAGAAGTGATTAGACTTGTTTAACTAAAATATGTTTATTTCTCAAAATATGTTTGCTTTGGAAAAGAAGGTAAAAGTAATGTTCTCTATGTAATTCACAATCAGTTATGTCGGGAGTCGAGATCATCTTGATTCTTTTAATATGTTATTGCCAACTCTTAAAGCTCCAAATGTGCCCGTGCAGAGCCGGCCGAGGCCGCTGAGGCTGTGCAGGCTCTTCCCCAAACCCGCGCGGCCAAAGGACAGCCACGGGCACGCGTGCCGAGCGGTAAATTTTCTACAGCCTCGCCCATTTAGATTTAGGGGAGCTGGGCAGGATCTCTTTTTCACTCTTCTTACTTTCAACTCAGTTACTTTGGAAGGTCTCCTAAATCCTAGAATCACAGAGAAAAATCTCTTGATATTTTCTCCTAATACTTTCATATTGTTTTGTTCACAATTCACTTTATCATTTTCCTGGAATTTGTTTTTAATGGTACAGGGTAGGGATATAACTTTATTACCTTCTAAAATGATTGAAAAATCATTTGTCCCTATAGCATGTATTGAATATTCCATTTTCCCCATTGATTTTACATGCTTTTTAATTAAATATTAAATTAACTTTAAGTTTATTAATATATTACATATTAAATTTCAAAACACATAACATTTGTTCTATGTTAAGTCACGCATGTGGAAGGTTTCTCCCTTTTGAGGAGCCTGGGCTGCCAGCAGCCCCCACGCCCCACCCATACCCCCAAGGGGAGAGTGCGGAGAACAAGCCTCAGGTGGCTGGTTGGGGTCAGGTGCCCCCGCCTGGCCCCAGGCGCGGGCCCGTCCACTGGAGTCCACCGCCCACCTGCGCCTCACAGTGGCGGTGTGCGTCACGGAACCGCCTAGCGTGCTGAAACCCTGAAGGCTTTTTAAAATTTTTTAACTTTTTAAAATACTTTTTTACTGCTTATTTTTTATTCCCACCCCCCCCAGGACTCCTTTTAGGTTAAGTAATCACCACTTCTCAGCCTGCTAAGAATCCTGTCTGGACCAGAGTCTCTCCCTGCTGGCCTGTGCCCCGACCCTGACACTCAGGCCGGCCTTCGGGCTGACGGCGCAGCCTCTGACGCGGCCGCGGCCCTAGCGTGCCCACTGCGGGCCCGGCGCTCTTTTAGGTGAGGAATGGAGCAGTGGGCCAGATTTTTGCCCTCCGGAAGCGCTCCTCTGTGCGGAGGACAGGCCTCAAGTGAGCCGACCGATAGGGTGTCACTTCCGGTCACCGTTAGGCTGTGAAGGAAGGGACAGGGGAAGGGACGCATGCAAGGCTGCTGTGTGCCCGTGTGGCGGGAGCAGGGTGCGGAGAGAAGTAGTGTATGTGATGAATTGGATCATCTCATGGAGACCTGTGCTCATGGCGGGGGCTTTTCTGTGTCACTGAGCGAACGGGGACAGTTCCTCTTCCCTCCCCGCTCAGACTGGAGGGCGTGCCGGATGAGTGTGGCCTTTCCCTGCCCCCAGTGTGTCCGGTGCTTTGGGGGTGGAACGAAGGGCAGGGGCAGACACGGGTCGGGGTTACTTGCTGGCGCCGCTCTGCTCTGCACGCAGCGCGCGGGGGTGACGGCAGGAAGAGTGGCCGCTGCGGAGCCTGTGCGGCCGGGGGCGGCCTCCATCGGGGGGGGAGGGTGTGGGCGCCCCACCTCGTTCCCCGGTGCCCTGCTGTGCTGGCCGCCGAAGCAGCGCTGGGCGGTCTTGCCGGAAGGACTGCGTGATGCGTGTGCGTGGTGTGTTGTCATAGTATTTTTAGGCACTGATTCCCACTTACTTTGAACAATCCAATGCTCATATACCATACAATTCAACCATTTAAAATGTGCAATTCAGTTATTTTTAATATAGTCCCAGGATTGTGCAGCCATCATCACACATAATTTTGTACCACTTTCATCCCCCACAGGAAGCCCCATGCCCACTGACGTCACCGGCACTTCTCCCTAACCCGCACGCCCGACCCCTGGGAGCCGACCCCTCGTCTCCTCTGTCCCTGCGGGTCTGCTGAGCCTGGGCATTCCCCGTACATGGAATCGTATAGCGCGTGGCCTTTTTTCATTTGGCATCAGTCTTCAACGTTCACCCATATCGTAGCGCGTGTCAGAACTTCCTTTTAACACTAAGCGGTACTCCGTTACCTGGACGTACACCGCAGGTCATTCACCCGCCGACTAGCGCTCGGGGCGTTTCTGCTCCGCGGCAGTTTTGGGTGACACGGCCCGGAGCGCTGGCCTGCGGACTGCCACATGCGGGTGTGTTTGCGGTCTCTTGATTATTTACCCAACAGCTCCACTGCTGGGGCCACACATTCACTCTGTCTGACTTTTGAAGAACTGCCAGGCTGTTTTCTGATGTGGCCGCGCCGGTTCCCCTTAGCGCCGGCGGCATATGAGGGTCCCAGTATCTCCACGGCCTCCCCAGCACTTGCTACTATGTCTCTCCTTTTAGATGACAGCCACCCCAGTGCGTCTCCCTGGGTTTGACTTGCATTTCCCCCGTGGCCGTGCATTTTTATATACAACCGGCTTTAGCCCTAAAATGTAACAGAACCTTACGCATCACCTGGCCTGACCCTTTCATCTTCCAATTGTAAAAACACAGGTTCAGCCCTGCCTGTGTGCTCACTTGGCTGAAGCGCCGCCCCGCCCACCGGAAGGTCGCAGGTTCAGTCTCCAGTCAGGGTGCGTACAGGAGGCAGCCGATCGATGTCTCTCTCTCACATCGATGTTTCTCTCCCTCTCTTTCCCTCCCTTCCCCTCTCTCTAAAATCCATAAGCATGTTCTCTGATGAGAGGATAAAAACAAAAATAAAAATAAAACACTTAGGTTCAGGGAGACGAGGACGAGGAATAGCAACACCCGGGGGAGCCCGGCGTCTGGTTCGCAGGCCTCCATTCTCGCTTCATTTCTGCCCTTTTTTAAACATGATCAGCCGTCTGGGGCTGTTTTTCCCAGTGACAGGATCTGGCTCATCTGTTTCTCAGGCAGTGGCATGTCCCTCCCGTTACAGCGCCGAGAGCCAGCCCCAGCGGTCGCAGAGCCACTTTCTCCGCAAATGCCGGTTTTGCTTGAAGGGTGACAAACTGCTTATTCAGCCTTGAATAATTAGCAAGCATTTTCTCAAAAAATAAGATGAGAGTGTCACCTTAAGGAAAATAACGGACAATGTCTGTTGTCCATGATCAATTCACGCTTTTAAGTGAGAACTTGAGTTTTGGAAAATCTCTGCCTGCCGGTTGCAAGCCTCTGTGTCCCAGTGCCACAGCCTCGCTTGCTGAGTCTGGCCGTGGTGTGAGGGAGCGGGGTCTTCGATACACCTGACGGGGAATCCCCCCCGGGAAGACATATATAATTCAGCGACCAGTATTTTCCAGATGAGCAATCAGTGATGGTACAGAACCGTTCATGAGCCAGAGAGCCGTTCAAGGGCAGGAAACAGCCCTGGACTCGATGTGGTCGAGCCAAGACCCTCACTGATAAGGTTTGAGACTCCAGGTAGCAGCCAGCCGCCCACAAACGGCCTCTTGTCGAGTTTTGGTGTCACAGCAAAAAACCCCGCGGTTCCCTGAAAGGGCCGTTAGTTCCCCGCGCCAATGACTGGCTTGAAGGAGACAAATTTTTCCCCTGCATTTCAACCAAACCAACATTCTGAACGTAGAGAAACGAGCTGTTTTCTGTGAAGCCAGATATTAAAGAGGTTTGCAAAAATGTAAAGCAGGGACACTCTTCTAGCTGATTTTGTTTTTTTTTTGGGGGGGGGAATATTTAATATGAGTTCTTTTATGAAATAGCTAAATGTTAGTTATATTAAGATATAATAGGTTTATTTTTTAATGAATTAGTATTTTTAAATTCCTCTGGTTAAATTTCTGATACAGTCCATATCAATAGATAAAACTCTCACAAAAGCTATTTAGGGTTCTTAATGATTCTTAGGAGCTTATAGGGGTCAAAAGAGTGCTACCCAAAGGCCACAGCACCAGCATCACCTGAGAGCTTGTTAGCGAAGCCGCCCCTCGGGTCGCAGCACTGCTCTCAGCCGCGCCCCCGCGCGGCGGAGGCAAGCCCCAGCCGGTGTGGCTGCCCGGGCTGGGCGTCGCCCTGCAGACCGGGAGGGCTTCTGCGGGTTCCCTGCCAGGGCGCCTGCCTGGGTTGTGGGTCCCATCTC